TGTGTGCGTCAGGTTGGCACTGAGACTGCGGGCGTTTGCCTCTTCCGCGGTAACTTGTTGAAGGAAAAGACCTGCCGGTTGCGACTGATGAGGTATGTGAACCATAGCTGCCTTCTGTGGATGTGTAAGAACATTTGGATTCTCGAGGTAATCCAGTAGAATATCTCTTGCATGTTCATAAGCAGCGTGAAGTTCGTACTTTTCTGCCCGTTTATTTGTACATCAGTCTATGAAATGCCTTTATTTCAGGGAGAACGATGAACGTATTGTTAGCGTGCGTTTCCTGACATCACCGTCGGATGCCAAAATCCACTATATGCTTGTGTGCTACGCAAGCTCAATAACTTGTTACGCTGTTCCGCTCAAGGGAGAGCCCAAGGTTTGTCTTTGCTCGTCTTGGGGAATTCCTACATAAGTTTCGGCCGAGCATGAAGTCACTTAGAGGAAGATCACGCTGCTAAGCTCTTGCGCTGCCGTGCTTTTCTGTTTCGTACTGTTTTACTTTATTGACGGATTTCGCCTCAAAATTACTTGCCTGATTTCTTACCTTCTGCGCAGGTCTCCCACACGGACAGCGTGCCCGTTGGGTCTACTCTGGTTGTGAGCGCGTTGCCGTCGCTTGGCACGTTTGTTGTACACCATGATGAGGGGATATTTTGTGTCGATCCTGATCAGGGCAAGCGCTGCACGAGCAAACTCCTACCGGTGTATTGCATAAAGTTAGGCTCATTCTTGTCTAGGGTTATTTTAAGGAAGGGGAAAACCGTAGAGTTACATGGGGTTACATCAGTCGTCTCAGTAATGTACTGTTGGGTGTAGGCAATCTGTGGGCCCTTCCAGCCGAAGGCCACTGCCACGTCTTGGCCACTCACAAATCCTATATTGTCTCCGTCACGACGGAAGAAACCTCTACCGAGAGTGAAATGACTAATGCAGATGCGGCTGGAAGTTTGCGTCAAGCAACTGCGTCGTTTCCATCCAAAAATACGGTAAGTGCCAGTGCGTATGCTTTGCCAAGGCAAACGCCCTTCCACATCAGCATCTCATCTTCATAATATCAAGCTGCAGCTAGTG